TTACAAGTCAGAATCGACTTAACAGCACTTAGCAATAACAACATTCACCAAAGTAGGATGTAGACTGTTGTCTTTGTGGATTGTGTTAGGCCAATTGACATTAACGTCCCCCAAGACTATGGCCCTGATACCAAAAATCAATAATGCATGGTTATTTATACTTAGGCTGGGTGTGGGTCTGCACCCGCAGTCCTTTTGGATCAATAGAGGCCTAGTTGTCTTCCTGCTACTACATCCCCATTGAGAACAGAAATAGCTTTCCTGTGGCTGTCTCCGAATCACCAAACTACACAAGTTAACATCCACTAAAACTTTACCATCTCCTTCACCTGAACACCAACTTCTCTCTGACAAGTAGGCAATTTGTGTGCATTAGTGTCTTCTTGAAACTACCAGCTGTTCCGCGGGAGAAAGATGAGGCGTTCTGCTCCCGTATAGATTTACAGCCTCGGAAACCCTGTGCAGGGTCGCTATGAGTCGGAACCGACTCCACGGTACTTAACAACAACAACAACAACAACAACAGGGTCTTCTTCTAGTGAACTGAAGTTCTCCACAAGAATCGCCTTAGGGATGAATGAGATGACCTCCAGATGCAAGGGAACAGCTAGTGAAGAAAGTAAGATGATGCTTAGCCAACAAAAGGAAAAAGCGTTCAGGTGTGATGGTGGTTTGTACTCAATCCAGAAATAAGGAAAATAAGGTTCGCTAAACCAGAATTTTAAAACAGCTTTCTATGTGACTTTGATCCTATAGTAATAATGGTTAAGTGACAGAAAGGAACATTTACGTTTGAGGTGGGATTCATGGCAATGTCAGAAAAGCACTCGACCGCAAAGTCTATTTGAACCAGGCAAGGTCAGCAGTTCAAACTCACCAGTCGCTCCTCAGAACCATGGGTCAGAACCAACTCCACGGCACTTAACAGCAACAATAACAACATGGGGAGAGTATATGCATGGATCTGGGTATCTGTGGAGATCCTAAGACAATTCAAAGGTCCCACATTTATAATGACCTCGGATTTAGTGCTCTTGGCATTTCCTCTAAATGAGCTATATGACTGAAAGAAGCCACTTGAACCAACTTTAAATTCATGAGTTATTACTGAACCATGCTACTGCAGGGTATTATAAAAAAATTTTTTTAAAGTTTGTATATGTGTTTTAAATAACATAACTACATTATATTGCACTGTTTATACTAAAACATTAATCTGATAGAGGTGGCAGTGTGCTAAGGAGTTGGTTTCAACTCACAGGGACCCTGCATAGGGTTTCTTAGGTTATAAATGTTTACAGGAGCAGAAAGCCTCATCTTTCTCCTGAGGAATGTCTGGTAGTTTCAAACTGCTGACCTTGAGGTTAGCAGCCCGACTCATAACCACTACACTACCAGAGCTCTTTAAGATATTAACCTAGTGAATGTAAACCATTCAAAATATACCACATATTTTGTATTCCTGTTATTTAAAAAATCTTTTGGAAAAAGAAAAACAGTTGTATATATACCTATATATTTCCAAAAAAAAAAAAAAATATATATATATATACAATGAAGCCTCAAATGAGAAGCCCTGGGACCATTTCATGGAAAGAGGAAAGTGTCCTCTGCCTCTGGTTAGCAAGGATGGATGCTGTCAGCAAGTAGGGACAAGAAAAACGGGATTCGTGTTGAGCTTGGGCCTGCCTTCCTTTCCAAGCTGTGTTATTCCCTCGATTCCCATTTCAGGTTAGATGTGCTTTTCTTCCAGTCTAGATTGCAGGCTCTTTATTGAACCATAAAGTGAGCCCTGAGGGCTTAAGCGAACAGCTCAAGGTCACCTGGGCAGTCAGCAGCTGTGTTGGGGCCAGAGCTCAAGTCTGGTTCGGCCCCTCCATAGTCATCAGCTGTGCTGTTTTGAGGGGGGTCTTGTTCAGAGTCACTGCCACTTTTATTAGACTCAAGGGGAGACCCTGCCCTCTTGCACCCACAAACAGGTGGAAAAGGAACTCGTTGATTATGTAATAAATATGACAATTCTCATTAACATGATGTATAGATTTATATACATTGTTTATATATGTATATATAGATATATATGTATGTACATATATGTTGTTGTTGCTGTTAAGTATCAATGAGTTGATTCCAACTCATAGCAACCCTGTGTAGGGTTTTCAAGGAGCAGCTGGCGGGTTTGAACCGCAGATCTTGTGGTTAGCATTCCATTGCTTATCCTACAGCACCACACTAGGACTCCATGTATATGTTGTTGTTGTTAAATGTCATCGAATCGGTTCCAACTCATAGCGACCCTGTTCAGGGTTTCCGAGGAACAACTGATGGGTTTGAACTGCTGACCTTGTGGCTAGCAGTCCAGTGCTTATTATCTTATAGCGCCACACCACAAGCCCTCCTTGCATATATACGCACACATATCTACACAAAACTCCCTCTCTGTTTGGAGTCCTGGTGTGGCACTGCAGAATAATGTGGTGGTCCACAAGGTCAGTGATTCAAATCACCAGCTGCTCCTTAGAAACCCAATACAGGGTGGCTTTGAGTCAGAATCGACTCGATGGCAACTAACAACAACAACAATCTATTTATCTATTTACAGTCTTGGAAACCCTAAGGAACAATTCTCGTCCTCTGTCCTCTGACACCAGGGTCGCTGTGGATCAGAATGGACTAAGTGGCAGTGGGTGGTAGTAAAACCTATCTACCTATCTCTCTGTATAGCCTTACAGTTTCAAAGTCCCATTGTTAGTGACTTTAAAGAATGAAGCACGAATTTTTGTGTTTACTGACTCCGAGAAGTTTAGCCCTTACTTCCCTAATATATATGTCTTGCTCATCTTTTACATTTCCCATTGTGCTTTTGTGAAAAGAGTTTGCCCACCAGACTAGTAAAAAATTAATAGATTTGTAATATAGTGTTGGTGAGGAACCAGGCTCAACCTTACAGTGCAGGCTGATGCAGCCTTTATAGAGGTCAGTTATTAACTTTTCACATGTCCTTCCTTGGGAACCCTAGTCCTACTTCTAGACTCTTGCCCTAGAGAAAGCCTCTCACTTCTCAAAGAGGCATGTACAGGAAGGTTCACTGCAGTTGGAAAGAACTGAAAAGTCCAGCAATAGGGAAGTTGTGCAGTAAGGTATGAAGCAGCCATTCTTTGGGATGCTATGAAACTCTTTGAAAAACGTGAGGTGGACCCAGCTAGAAAGAGCTCCAAGACATGCTGTTTAGTAACAAGGAGCAAACTACTCAGTAGTGACTCATACTGGCTGTCATTTATGAGGAAGGACCATTTGTGTAAATAGCGAATGCACAATGGCTACTTCTGTGGGGAACAAAAAGAGTGGGAGGGAGACTTCCTTTTCTTATGTGGATACACCATAGTTTGTTTAACCACTCCCCTGACTGATGAACACTGGGGCTTTTCAGTCTTTCTACCACCAACAATGCTGCCATCAGAACCGTTGCATGGATGGATGTTGTTACATCCTGATACAGGTGTATTTGTGAAATTAACTCCCAGAAACATAACTGCTGTATCAAAAAGCAACTGCATTGGTCATTTACATTTCCATCTGCCTGTTTGCTATTGATGCAAAATCCACATCATATAAAATTAATTCAGTGGCATTTCGTGCTTTCAAAATACTGTACAGATGAAGAAGTTTGCTTTGTCTGCACTGTTTGAATGTGGTTTACACTGAGACTGCATTCATGGGTTCCTTGTTTAATTAAAAATAAGGAGTGAAATCAGAGTGTGTGGGCTTCCGAATCTTACAGCTCTGGGTCTGGTCCCAGGGTTGCCCTCAGTCACTGCAGGGCCCCAGGTAAATTCCTCCTGAGGCCCAATGCCCACATCTTTGAGGTGGAGAAAATCACGCTTACACTGTGCAGCTAATGAGAAGAGAAGCTGCTAACAGGAGCTGAGAGCATCTGGCTCCTTACAGCCTAAACATGACTTCCTTCTCCCTGGGGCACTCGTGGGCTCTGGCCTCAGCAGCACAGGTTCTAATCCCAGGTCCTCCATCCCTCTGTATGATGGTAACATTTTGAACCTTGGTTTCCTTACATGGAAGACAGGAATTATAAAGGGGAGGGAACGAACTCAATAAGAAGCCCAATGATTAAGCACTCAACTACTGACAAACATGTTGGAGGTTTGAACCCACCAGTGGATCCACAGGAGAAAAGATCTGGTGATCCACTCCCCTAAAAAATGAAACAAAAGGCCATGGCTCCCCTGCTGGTTCTGACTGGTAGGGACCCTATAGTAGGACAGCGGAGAAATGCCTCATCTGGTTTCCAAGGCTGTAAATCTTCGTGGAGGCGCACTGCCGTGGAATAGCGATGAGTCCCTGCCCTCCAGTTAGCAGCTGAGCCCTAAACCACTGGAATCCGGGCTCCCCATAAAGATGACAGCCTAGAAAACCCTATGGGCCAATCCTATCCAGTCCTGTAGGGTTGCTATGAGCCTGAATCCACTTGACACGTAGTAACAAGGACTCACTGAGACAATGCATATAAATGCGATAATGCACCCTTGTCACCTGGATCTAGAAGCTCCCTCCAGATGACTACTTGGAAGTGTTTTCATTTTTAGTCATTAGAACCAGTTTCCATCACTTTTAGAAGGAGCCATGGGGTCCTGGGGTGATGCTGTAGGATGATTGGTGGAATGCTAACCAAGTGGTTTAAACCCACCAGGCATTCCTGAGAAACGCTCTTAAGTCTGAACCAACACTTCAACATTTAACAATAATGGGAGTCTTGTAGAAATCTGGGTCAACTGACCAGGTCTTACTATTGATCTGGGGCTGACAGGTAACACCCAGGTAGCCCAGCTGCTTACAACAGTGCAGGCTACACAAGAATGCTCATGACTCAGGGCCTGTCAGGAATTTTGGCAGCTCCTGGCCTAGTGCCTGGCACCATAGGTGTGCAATGGACAGGGGAACCTGACGAAGCTGTCGTGCTTGCTTCTCTCTGATCTCTGCCCCAGGGCCATTGGCGCCAACCCGCTGTATTGCGACTGCCACCTCCGCTGGCTGTCTGGCTGGGTGAAGACGGGCTACAAGGAGCCGGGCATTGCCCGCTGCGCTGGGCCCCCAGACATGGAGGGCAAGCTGCTCCTCACCACACCAGCCAAGAAGTTTGAATGCCAAGGTGAGCATGGGGTGGGGTTGGGGAGTACTGGATAACACCCACCTCCTGTGGCTGGGCCCTCACAGGGCCTGCTCAGCCCTGGCCGCCCTTCCAGATGCTCCCTGAGGTGACCAGGTAGATGGGGGGAGGGGGGAGGGTCATGTGGCAGGAAGGAAGCACCTGCTGTTTGTGAAGAAGACTGATTTGTGGCCCTGACAGAAAAAACAAAAACGGAAAAAGCCAACTAGAAAACCTCAGGCCGAGAAGGCTTTAATCCCTCTCTGCGGATTAAAGGAAAATAAAAATAACAGCAGTGTTTCTGGAAGCTTGGAGCCTCGCTGCTATGAAAGCACTCAGCCCTCCCTTTGGTAGGAATCGTGCTCAGCAATTAACTTAAAACCCACCCCAGTACCTGGTGGAGCCGCGGCACTCAGCTGCCAGTCTCCTGACATTTGCAGAAATGCAGCCCTGAGTGTGACTGGAGGCTTACTGGCTCTTTTCTATAAAGGCTTGTTCAGGGCTTGATTGACTGATGGATGGATAGCCTCGGTCTGGGAGGCTTTGTTGAACAGAGAGGGGCAGCCCCAGGGCCTGTCCTGTGTGCCGGGGAAGGGCTGAGCGGCCCTGGATCACCACGGCCCCTGCCCTCCACAAGCTTCTAGACTGCTGCCGGAAATGAAACTGACAGTCTTAGGTTAAAGAGGAGGCCCTGACCACCCTGGGTGCAGGATGCTGTAGCGATGGAAGCAGGTCTGGTAGGCCCCATTTGTGACTTGGTTGTCCAGAGCAGGCCAATTCATGTTTAAATATTTGCTCAGCATTTATTTAATGGGGTTGCAGGTGGGGTTGGTGTTGGTGAGAAGAGTTTTTTTTGTGTTTGTTTTTAACTTTCTATTGAAATATAGCACACACCCAGAAAAGTACATAGGTCATAAGTGAATGGCTCCCTGAATTTTTACAAACTAAACTCACTCCTGTAACCAACACCCAGATCAAGAAGCAGAACCCTGTCTGCACTCAGAGAACCCCTAGTGGTGGACAATGTGCTTATTTCTGGTCTCACTCATGCCCCTTCATCAGAATTGATACTTCACAACTTAGGTCCCTGGATGGTACAAATGTTTTGGACTCAGTTGGTAACTCATAGGTTGGTGGTTCAAACCCACCCAGCATCTCTGTGGGAGAAAAGGTCTGACAGTCTGCTTCCATAAAGATTATAGCCAGAAACTGTATAGGTCAGTTCTACTCTGTAACACATGGGTCGCCATGAGTCAGAACCAACTCAGTAGCACAAGACAACCACAGACCACAGAAGGAGTCTTCTGTGGAAACTTGGGTTAACTGGCCTGGTCTTGCTATGTATTCTTGTGAGGGCTTAGAACCCAGTTGGCTGCTTTCTCATCCAATGAAGGGCATCCATGCAGCCTGGAAGACTGGAGAAGGTCTTGCCTGAAGCCAGAAGCTGATGGAAAAGGTCCTTCTTGGTTCAATCTGGGAGAGGACCAGTTTGAAGGCAGACAGCCCTTCCTCCCCTGCAGGACCCCACATAGCACTATGGAGCAAGATCCCCACCACCTGAGGTGGCATCAGGGCTGGCGTGATCACCGGAAGGTGTGGGGAGATGGGGAAGTTGCCAATAGGATGCTCTCACACCGCTGAGCGCCCTAACTGCTTACAGGTCAAGAGCAAGTGAAGCACTTTGTGTTGTTTAGTTCTCATAGCCGTATAGCCCAGAGGAGGGGGACTGCTAGTCACCCCATTTACAGAGGAGGGTTTGGAGACTGGAGGGGCTACTGCTGAGGGAAGATGGAGCAGGATCTGGAGGAACTAGAGAGAGAGGCAAAAATCTTGGCACAAGGACTTCCCACTACCCTGCTGTGTAGGACTGGGAACCCCAGGGCAAGCACTGCCCTACTGTCCCCACTTTCTCCAGCACTCAGTGTCGACTACCCGATAAGCATAGACTTGCTTGTGTTTGCTTACTAATATGTAGTGAACAATTTCACATGTTTCCACCAAAGATTCTGCTTTGATGTATGGCTGGTATCTGTCTTTCTTCCAACCCCACAGCGCTTTCCTACAGAATCAGTTTACAATCCCTGATAGGGATGGAGTACCTGTCAGAAAGGTAAGCACAGGCTACTTGTGCTTATTAATCCATAGTGAATGCTTTCATATGAGTCTCACCACATTTAGTAAGCACAAGTAAGCCTGTGCTTACCTTGCTAACTGGGTCTTCCATCCCTGCCTGCACTGATGCCTTCTCTGCTGTTACAGGTCCCCCCACTCTGGCCATCCAGGCCAAGTGTGACCCCTGCTTGTCCAGCCCCTGCCAGAACCAGGGCACCTGCCACAACGACCCCCTCGAGATGTACAGGTGTGCCTGTCCCAGCGGCTACAAGGTGAATGGAGGTGGAAACCTGACGACGAGGAGGAGGGGGGTGGATCTGTCTGTGTGTCATTTTGCCCCCAGTGCCCAGAGCATCCATGATGTCTCTGTTGGCCCACATTAACCCCAGGTCTACCTGAGGTCCTCATCTCTGACTTTTCTCCCCAGGGCCGAGACTGTGAGGTGTCCCTGGATGGCTGTTCCAGTGGCCCCTGTGAAAATGGCGGGACCTGCCAGGCTGGGGAGGGTGATGATGCTGGCTTCACGTGAGTTGCTTAGAGGGGCAGGATTCAGGAGCCAAGCTTCAGTGCCTTACTCCCCATGCTGGGGCTACCCAGACCTCCTGCTGCTCTAGGGGCAGTTGAGGAGGGCTTGCAGGGATGGGGACTGTCTCCAAATCAGAGCCAAAAGAGCCTTCCAAGCCCACCAGGCCGTCACGGCACAGCAGGCTGCTCTGCTGACTCCTGGCCCCGCCCTCCCTGCTCTTGCCAGGACCCAGGTGTCCTCTGATGCCACAGGCAGTCCATGGACACAGGCAAATGCAGTGACGGTGCCAAGGGCAGTCTGGGGGCACAGTCTCCATGAACCACCTCAAAGCCTCCACTCTAAATCAAAACCAATGTTGTTCAGGGCAGGGCCCTCGGGCAGTGCCCCCTGCCCCGCTCTCAGTCAGCACCCTGCCCCACTCTCAGGCAGCACCCTGCCCCACTCTCAGTCAGCACCCTGCCCCACTCTCAGGCACGTCCCTGAGCACTGAAACAGAGCCTGGTGCCACCACTGTGTATGAGGCGCCCAGAGTTGGGAACCAAGTCCTGGTCCCTCATCTCAGGAGTCACACTGGTCACTCCTGGGAAGGGGCCAGCCTAATGACCTCATCTCTAACGTCCTTCCTGTGCTCACCTTGCCATCCAAGCCCCCCACCCCACTACTTCACTACTTTCCTTAGGGCACCAGCGAGAGCCTCACAACAGAGCTCTCCCGACCCAGCACTTTTCTGGGAATACAGAGTATTTAGTTGCTGAAAATAAATTACCAGCAGAGAGAGAGCAAATTGGCCCTTCAGAAAATGATGTTGAATCGACTGGCAGAAATGGCCAAACCTGTTTCTGCAAACCAAAATTACCAGATATAAATAAATAAACCGCTAAATGGCCTCTTTTCCCTTTGTCGCCTTGGAAACAGCTCAGATTCTCCTCTGGGCTTTGATGAGTGCTCCAGCAAAGCGGCTCCTCCTCTGCATTCCTTAGACCCTCTCAGGGGGCTGACAGGACACCCAGAAATTTCCCCTGCAGAGCAGAGAGATACAGCTCAAGTGGGGTGGGTTAATCCCTCACACCTGGCAGCCTTGCTGACGAGGGTTTTGTGGGGGCTGGGGGTCATTCCTGAGTCACCCTTCATCCCTGAAGTTTAGGAGGGCCTCAGGGGAGGCCCAGGGGAGGTGCCTGGAGAGTGAATGACTATGGAAGCGAATACACTTGGCAGATTTCTTCTGCACACCCGCTGTGGAGTGTGGTAGTAGGTGGCACGGAAGGAACATTGGAAGGAATGCTGAGCTCCTTGAGATCAAGGCGGGTGTCTTCTCTCCACCGGCCCAAGGAGCAGACTGTCTGCTAGTACACGAGGTGACTTAGATCTGAGGAGTCACCATCAGAAATAGTAAGATTTGCCCGTTGGAGGGGATTGTCTAGAGTCCATCCACCCTTTGCTTTCCACCTTCCAAGGAAGGTAGCTGAGGTTCCCCTGCTGGACCTGAAGGAGAGCCTGACACAGGAAATGGGGTGTACCCTGAAGTCAGTTGCAGGGCAGCCTGCAGGCTTGTGGGTGTGGAGACGGAGAAGGTAGTGACTAGGACAGAGCAGGGGTGGATGATGGCGGTGGGACGCCTACAGGACTCAGTGAGGCTGCAGTTAATGGGAACCTGCCACCAAAACCAAGGGCAACTCCAGGGAATGTGGTTGGTGCATCATGTGACTGTCGTCCCCTGACCCAGGCCTACTCCAATGCCCTGCCCCAAACTCTGGCTAGCGGGGAGTTTCCCACCCTGCTTAAAACCCCTATGTTGTCTCCTCTTGCCTTTAGTGAAAAAAATTAGCCTCAAGACCTGCTGCGCAGTGTTCAAACCTTTCTGCTTACATACCCCTAAAGCCAAAGTTTAATTAATAACTATACAGCCCCTCACACATGTTCCATTGACGTCTTAACATTTGTCATTGCAAGCTTACTTCTTCACTACAAATATCCGTAACATTTAAAGATAAAACATGTCTATAAAATGTCTCCAATGGAATCTATATAGCCTGTTTGACATCATTTTATAATTCTGTGAACAAGTTTCCCTTTAACAGTAAACATTATTTCTCATTCTTTTTTCTCCTTAAGCTGTTATTTCCAGTCTCACTACCCCCCATTTTTCTTCTAATGTAACAATGTTTTTATGCTAGGGAGACTTTTCTTAACACTCTTTAAGGCTTCTCTGCCACCAACATAGAATATAAGCTTAAATATCAAGGTTTTTTCTTATGTTTTATGACAGTAAGTCTCTCTGATTAACAGTTTCTTCTGTACTAAGTCATCTTTACAATTATCAATAATACATCGTAACACATAAAATTGGACTATGTCTCTTAACGAGACTGTAGGACAATGCTTGCTCTCTCCTCTTCAGTGGGTGCATGGTACGGGGGAAATGTAATAGGACAAGGCAGGACAAGACTGTTCTCCCCCTTTTTAGATACATATAAATGTTGAGAAAGTTTGTTCACATAAATAAGCATGGGGTTAGGAGTTTTATCATAACCATGTCGCTCATTTTTTTTTTTAAATCCTTCCGAGTTTAGATGAAAAAAATGCCTAGAGTGACCTGCCATCAAAAATTATTTTTAACAGTCTATCAGTGACAACTTGCTTAGGTCCTCCTTCAATTATTTTTAAAACATGGAGGTGGGAACCTCTACATTTGCAAACGTTCGTTCACTTTCTAAAGATCCCACCCACTGCCTTCTAGTTGGATCCAACTCATAGCGATCATGTATAGTGTTTCGGAGCTGTAAACCTTTACTGGAGCAGAAAGCCTCATCGTGCGGTTGGTGGGTTTGAACTGCTGACCATGCAGTACTCACCCTACAGCATTACCAGGGATCCTTTCTAAATGTCAGTATCCCTTGTTGCTATTAAGTGCCATTGAGTTGGTTCTGACTCATAGTAACCCTGTATAGAGTTTTCAAGGAGCGGTTGGTGGGTTTGAACTGCTGACCTTATGGTTTGCAATCCAGTGCTGATTCTACGGCACCATAGCAGGAGTCTTCATGTTCCTTTATTTGGTGCAGAGGGTTTTAAACTCCAGGGATGCCCCACCTGACTTTGGGCTGGATAAGAGGTGGAGAAGTTCTGCAGGCAGCTTAGTTCAGGGAAGCGTTGACATGGGACTTGAAAACCCAGAAAGTAATTTCTTAGACACCTTTGGCCCATAAACCCCTTCGAGAATTCCTGGGTGTCTTGTTGTTGTTGTTGTTGTGTGCCATGGAGTCGGTTCCAACTCATAGCGACCTTGTACAGGGTTTCCGAGGCTGGAAATCTTTACGGGAGCAGAAAGCCTCATCTTTCTCCCGCGGAATAGCTGGTAGTTTCGAACTGCTGCCCTTGTGGCTCTCAGCCCGATTCATAACCACTACGCTACCAGTCTTAGAGCAGGCATATACTGGGTTGAAGATCACTGGTCCCCAGGGCCCTGCACACGTGGCTCCCAGCCACCCTCAGCTCTGATGTTGATAATCCCCAAGTCCTGAACTCTTTAGGGGAACAGATGTCCTCCCAAGAACTGGACACCTCTGTCTATTCACCTTCCTTCCCCTTCCTGTTTTCCACAACACCCCCCAGGAGGAGTGAGGTGTCCCCTGCCCTTTATCCCTGCTCCCCAACCTCAGTGCTTACCCCAAGCCTGGTCGTACCCCTTCCCACACTGGACCGTGAGGGAGTCCTGTGAAGGCAGAGCCTGGTTTGGGAGGGTGGTGGTCACTGTGCCCTCAGGTTCCCCGGAGCTCTGGGAAGGCTGCCACCTGGCTGTGGGGCCACCTGCCTCTCTCTCCCCACCTTCTCAGGTGCTCCTGTCCTGCTGGCTTTGAGGGACTGACCTGTGCTGTGGACATGGATGACTGTGTAGAACACGCCTGTACCAATGGGGGCACCTGTGTGGATGGCGTGGGGAACTACACTTGCCAGTGCCCCCTGCAGTATACGGGTGAGCGTGGTGGGTCCCAGCGTCAGGGTGGGAGGGCCAAGCACAGGCAAGGGAAGGCAGCTTCTTACCTGCCTCTTGTTCATTCTCTCCCCAGGAAAGGCCTGTGAACAGCTGGTGGACTTCTGCTCCCCGGATTTGAACCCATGTCAGCATGAGGCCCAGTGTGTAGGCACTCCAGATGGACCCAGGTCAGTGCGCCCCATTTCTGGGGCTGGGGAACACAGCCCCCATGTCAGAACTGATTCCATGGCACGCAACAGGTGGTAAGGATGGCTCTTCCATGACAAGAGTCCCATTGCCTGCTGCTGGACATCCCCTTCCCAGCCCAGAGTCCCATTCAAGCCTACACAGCTCCCCTCTTGCATGAGAATAGGAGCCCAGAATGGGTGGGGATGTGTTCTATCAGGGACTCAGACTGATCTGGGAATCTGCAGAGACCCAGTGGGCCTGGGCCTTCTCTGTCACACACACAGCACCTCCCTCTGCCCTGGCTGTGGGTGCCCTGGGTCCCAGCACACTCTCCTAGCAGAGCATGTGGCTGTCACCCTCCCCAGGTGTGAGTGCATGCCAGGTTACACAGGTGACAACTGCAGTGAGAACCAGGATGACTGTGTGGACCACCGCTGCCAGAATGGGGCCCAGTGTGTGGATGAAGTCAACAGCTATTCCTGCCTCTGTGCCGAGGGCTACAGGTGAGCAGACCCTAGATGCACACGGACGTCTCACTGGTCCGCAACCTCGGACCTGCAGCAGCCTCCAGGCTTTGCTAGGGGTCGGGAGGGGGTGAGGACCAGAGCCTGGGAACTGGAGCCTATGGCGCTGTAGGATAAGCACTGGACTACTAACCACAAGGTCAGTGGTTCAAACCCCCAAGCTGTTCCTTGGAAACCCTCTACAGAGCTGCTATGAGTTGGAACTGAGTCGATGGCACATAACAAGAACATGCCAATCACAAGGAGCTCCGGTGGTCCAATGGTTAAGTGCTCATGGGAGAGAAGACTTGGAACTGTGCTCCTATTAAGATCACAGCCTTGGAAGTCCTACCAGGCAGTTCTAGTCAGTTCCATAGCATCGCAATGAATTAGAACTGATGCCATGGCACGCAACAGCAACACGTCAATCGCTAACTGTGTGGCCTTGGAAAAGTTACTTGGCAGCTCAGCTTAGGTGTCACATGAAGCGTGAGGGGTGGATGTATTTTACTGAGCAGTGCCCCATCTCACCTGCCCAGCAGAACCTGCAGACATGTCCATTAACGGCAGGTGTGCAGCTGCCCTTAGGACCCAGCAGTGGTCTTTGACCCAGTCTCCTGTCTTGACCCCTGCCCTCCTTCTGGCTCTGCACCTCTCCAGGCTCTGCCCTAAAACAAACAACCAAACTCAGCTTTATTCAGATGTAATTCACAAACCCTACAATTCACCGATTTCAAGTCTATAATCCAATAAATAGCGTTTAGCATATTCACAGACTTGGGTAACCATCAGCACAGTTAATTGTAGAACATTTTCATCACCCCGAAAAGACAATCCAGGGGTCCTTTTTGACTTCTTTCACAGTGCACGGTTTTCCAGATTCATCCAGGTTGTAGTTTGAATTCGTACTTCATTTTGTTTCATTGCTGAGTAATATTCTATTGTGACGGATGTTATCCATTCATTTAGCGGATAGACGTTTTGGGTAGTTTTCACTTTCTGACTATTATGAACAATGCTGCTACAAAGATTTGTGTACATAATTTTGTGTGTGGACATATATTTTCAATTCTCTTGGGACTGTAATTGCTGGGCCATACTGTAACTATGGTTAATTATTTAAGGAACTGCTAGGCTGGTTTCCAAAGTAGCTGAACCATTCTACATTCCCATCAGCAGTGTGAGTGCTCCAGTTTCTCTACATCCTTACTATTGTCCATTTGATTATAGCCTTCCTAGTGGGTGTGAAGTGGTATCTTTTTATGATCTGGAATGACATTTCCCTGATGACTAATGATGTTGAACATCTTTTCATGGGTTCACTGGCCATTTACATCGTCTTCTTTAGAGAAATGCCTATTTAGATCCTTCACCCATTTTTAAATTGAGTTATTTGTTTCTTTATTATTGAGTTATAATAGCTCTTTATATGTTCTAGATACACTCCCTTCCTAGGTAAACGATTTGCAAACATGTTTGTCTCATTCTGTGGGTTGTCTTCTCACGTCATAGATGGTATCATTTACAGCACAAAAATGATCATTTTTCATGATATCCAATTGATTTATTTTTCTTTTGCTGCTTGTGCTTTTGGTGTCATATCTAAGGAACCATTGTCTGGTGCAACATCATGAAAATGTGTACCTATGCTTTCGTCTATGAGTTTTCTAGTTTACCTCTTACATTTAGGTCTCTGATTAAAGTTAATTTTTATAGATGACGTGAGTAAGGTAGGATTCCAAACTGGGCTTGTATCTTGCAAACTTGATAAACTTTTTGTTCTTTCTAATAGTTTTTTAGTGGATTCCTTAGCATATTTTTCTTCCACAATCTTATCATTGGCAGATAGAGTTAGCTATACTTCTTTCTTATTTTCCAATATTGTTGTTGTCAAGCGCCATCAAGTTGATTCCGACTCATAACAATCCTGTAAAGGGTTTCCAAGGTGGATGACTTTTATTTTATTTTCTTAACTAACTACTCTGTCTGCTTGTGCCTTATTGCATAATATTGTACAATACTGAATAGAAATGGTGAGGGCGCATACCTGTCTTGTCTGGATCTTAGGAGAAAGCAACCAGTATTTCATAATTAAGTACAACGTTAATTGTGTGTTTTATCTGGCTGATGAAGTTCTCTTCTATTCCTAGTTTGTTGAGTGTTTTCATCATGAATTCAGTGTTTGTGTCAAATGTTTTTTTCTGTGTTTACTGAGATGACTGACTATGCGGGTCTTGTCTTTTCTTTTGTTCATACTGTGTATTTCATTGATTGATTTTCAGGTATTAAGCCAAGCTTGCATTCCTGGGATAAATACCATGTATATAATCCTTTTTATATATCAATGGGTCGATTTGCTAGTAACTCACTGAGGATTTTTGCATCTTTATTCATAAGAGATGTATTGGTCTTTAGTTTTCTTTTCTTGGGATACCTTTTTCTGGTTTTGGTATCAAGGTAATACTGGCCTCATAGAGTGAATTAGGAAGTATTTGCCTCTTCCGTTTTCTGGAAATGTTTGTAAAGATTTAGTATTAGTGGTTTATTGGTAGAATTCACCAGTGAAAGTGGGAAGTTTTTTGATCACTAATTCAATCTCTTGTTATGAGTCTGTTCAGATTTTCTGGAGTCCGTTTTGGTAGTTTGTTTCTCTAGGAATTCGTCCATTTCATCTTCATTATCTAATTTTTTGGCATACCAATTAGATATTTCTTTATTAACCTGATACCATCGAGTCAAATATGACTCAACCCTACAGGACAATGTAGACCCTACAGGACCTACAGGACAATGTAGATTCACCCCATACGGTTTCCAAGGCTGTAAACTATAGAAGCAAACTGTCACATCTTGCTCTGTGGAGCAGCTAATGGGTTCAAACCACCCACCTTCAGCTAGCAGCCAAGCGCTTAACCACCTTGCCACCAAGGCTTCTTATATCCTCTTATAGTTCTTTTTGTTTTTATAAGGTTCATGGTTATATTGTTGTTAGATGTCTTTGAGTCAGTTCTTACTCATAGTAACCCTGTACAGGGTTTCCAAAGCTTTTAAAATCTTCATGGAAGCTGAAAACTCCATCTTTCTCCCTCGGCACTGCTGGTGGCTCAAATCACAGACCTTGCAGTTCGCAGTCCCGTGCCCATTGGCTGGCGCCACTGCGCTCCTTGTTTTTACCCTTTTTGTATCTGATTTTTGTCATTTGAGTCTTGAGTCTGGTCTGCTTGGTCTTAGCCTTGCAGAGTTCTGACATGAGCAGTGAGCACTTCTCCAACTTTAATGTGTAGCTGGGATCTTGTTAAGATGCAGATTCAAGTTCAGTAGGTTTCCCACTTTGACCAGTGTCCCGGTGTTCTCACCATGTTTCTCATCATCCTTCTGGCTCTTAGCTCTCTTAAGAAAAGTGTCCCTGAGGAGCATCTTCTGGCACTTTAAGGATCCATTTCCTGGGCTGTGGGAGGGAGATACCACTTCCTCCTCTGGCACGGCCCTTTCTAATGTGTGTCCTCTCCCTCTCAGCGGACAGCTCTGTGAGATCCCTCCGAGCCCACCTGCTCCCAGGAGTCCCTGTGAGGGGACTGAGTGCCAGAATGGGGCCAACTGTGTGAACCAGGGCAGCCGGCCCGTGTGCCAATGCCTCCCGGGCTTTGGTGGCCCTGAGTGTGAGAAGTTGCTCAGTGTCAACTTCGTGGATCGGGACACTTACCTTCAGTTCACCGATCTGCAGAACTGGCCTCGGGCCAACATCACACTGCAGGTGGGTGTCCAGGGGCCTGGTCACAGAGGGGAGTCAGGGGCAGGGGACCCTGGCTTTGCTGTAGGTCAGAGTATCAAGATGTATCCCTGGCCAGGAGAATTGGAAGGGCTCCTGTCAGTCAAAGCTCTTTGTGGTCTCAGCTTGCATTTCACAGTTGGGAAGGTATTAATTCACAAGCAGTCTCAGAGAACAGGAGTCGAGCGATGGCCTCGTGGATGACTGGATCCAGGAAACTCCATTTGCCAGGACTCTAACTGTCCCATGTCTCTACTGCTCCTCAGCTTTCAGCTGCCAACACTCAGACGGCTTTCTCCCTGGGGCTGGAATGAGGAGCTCTGGGCTTCTGTTTTCAGCCAAGTATTCCTTCTTGGCTTCTCTTCTTTTCCCAGCACCACTCAGCCTTTCAGATATACTGACTGTACTTCTTCCCCATCACTGCTTCCAAATCCTGTCCACACAGCAAGATAGCAGCTATCCTAACTGCTCACCAAAAAACTTGTAAAAACCCTAACAAGCCATTGCCTCACATATCCTTCCTTCAAGAGACTGTTAATCCCAGTAAGTCCCCATGAGGTCCCAACACCCAATACTCAAAGAGGCTCTTCCTTACTTAGGACAGTAATCCCAGGGAAGATCTCTGATTGGCCTGGCTCCAGTCATATGTCCATCCCTAGACCAACCAGGGAGATGAGGTGCTGTGATTGGTCAAGCCTGGGCCATGACCCACAGACCATGGGTTTGAGGCCTTTACCAGAAGAAAGAAGGGAAGAGGAACCAAGTGTGAAAAAATGAAACAAAAGAAAAAGCTCTGGCTCCCACAGTGTAGAGAGGGCTCTTCCTCCAAGGCAAAACGCACAGCTCTCATGACAGGCACTAGCTCCTCTCTTCCAATCTTGGGTCTCCATCTACCCAACTCGCCAGGTGGGGTGGGTAGGAGAGGACGTGCCTTTTCCCATCAGGTCTCCACGGCTGAGGACAATGGGATCCTGCTGTACAATGGGGACAATGACCACATTGCGGTTGAGCTGTACCAGGGCCACGTGCGTGTCAGCTATGACCCAGGCAGCTATCCCAGCTCTGCTATCTACAGGTGGGTTTCCTCAGGCCCGTGAGATGCCGTCAGGCCTGAGGAACTGCTAATCAGGGTATCCCGGGCCAGAAGCAGATGGTTAGTGGGATCACTAGGAAGCTGGGCAACCTAAGTGGAAAGAACATTGAACGATCTAGTCAACGCTTGCTTGGGTCCGAGACCCTCTGAAGCTGGAGCAGCTGCCAATCTTACTACTACTTCAGAGGGGCTCCCAATGGCCACAGTTACCCCAAACTTCTCAGCTTTCTCCAGGGAGCTGCAAGAAGGGGACTAGGAAGAACCAGGCCATCCTACAGTTCCTTCTCTTAAAAACTGGGTTCATTGGAAAGTAACTGCTGGATCATATGGTCTTTCTGGAGAAGCCCCCAGCCCCAAATGAAATCCACCCCCTGTCTTCTTCCAGTGCTGAGACCATCAATGACGGGCAGTTCCACACAGTTGAGTTGGTCACCTTTGACCAGATGGTGAATCTCTCTATTGACGGCGGCAGCCCCATGACTATGGACAACTTTGGCAAACACTACACGCTCAACAGCGAAGCCCCCCTCTATGTGGGAGGTGAGGACCTGGCCCAGTGGAGGTGAAAGCAGTTCCAGGGTGGGACCTCTTTGGCCCTCTGGCCTGAGACCTGTCAGGACAGCTGGTGCTCAGGACACTGACTTTTGTGGGGGAAATGCCAAGGGGTGGGAGAAAATTCTAGTGAATGACCAAGCTGCTGGTGAGTTTCCGTCCCCTGCCTGGAGTCTCAGGCTGCTCTCTCCCCAGCTCAAACTGACCATATAGGCTAAGTGTTTGGTTGGGCCTGAGGCCTTACCTGGGACTTACCTGCCTATCCTCTTGTTGGGCCAGAAGGGGCTTGTCACTTGTTTGGGGTTCATTCCCAGTCTTGGGGCCATCAGAGGCCCAGAGCAGCTACAAGAGACCTGGACACAGGAGTCCCTGCCTCAACTGGAGACCTCTCTGGCTGACCATACAAGCTTTGAAGGCCAGATGACCCCTCCCCTCATCCCATCCCACCCCTTCCCCCACCTCATCCACCACAGGCACACATTTATAGATCCAGCCAAGGCAGGTTTCCAGGTGCAGTAGATTGTCCCAGGCTGGTGGCTTGCTGGGACTTCCAGGCAGATGGGAAGATGGAGCCTGGGTTCTAATCCCAGCTCCGGTAACTACTCGTTGTACAACTTCCAGCAAGTCATTGGACATCTATCAAATGGTGACAGAGGTACTTAACCAGAAAGTGACTCTGAAGTGACCACTAAAGTGCCATGCACACAAATTCTAGGTCCCAGACCCTTTGCTGCACTTGGAATCCATGGGCGAGGGCAACCCAGACTTCAGCAACAGGGACACCCAGGTTTTAACCCCAGATCTAATGAGCCTTTTCATTGTTTCTGGTAAGGGAGTCTGGGCCCTCAGCTCAGGGTTACAGAGACAGAAGAATGGAGGCTAAGGGGTACTACGAGTAAACACGGAAACTGCTGAGCTGGCCTCAGAGGTGGGTGTCTGCCTGCCCTCTACAGGGATGCCTGTGGACGTGAACTCGGCTGCCTTCCGTCTGTGGCAGATCCTCAATGGCACCAGCTTCCATGGTTGTATACGGAACCTGTACATCAACAATGAACTACAGGACTTCACCAAGACACAGATGAAGCCGGGCGTGGTGCCTGGCTGCGAACCCTGTCGAAAACTCTACTGCCTGCACGGCATCTGCCAGCCCAACGCCAGTCCAGGACCGGTGTGCCACTGCGAAGCCGGCTGGGGGGGACTGCACTGTGACCAGCCAGCCAACGGCCCCTGCCATGGCCACAAGTGAGCCTGGGGTGGGGGGACCTGCACTCTGTCCATTGGCCCCTTTCCTATGGGAGAGCAAATACAAGGAAGGTAGTTTTTAAATGCCTCCCTGAACTGGAACACGTGGCCTCACACAAGCTTTTATTGTTTGTTTTCTGGGTTGCAGTGTTTATTAACAGGAAAAGGTCTTTAGGGCCAGACACACAGAGTCTCGTTTTGCTCCCTTTGTTTAAACCTCGGGCTCATGAAGTGAAGGTTGGGTGTGGCGGGGTTCCCTGGGGTGGGCCTTGGGGAGGTCATGCCTAGCTTCACTGAGCTCTTCCTCTGCCCCTGCAGGTGTGTCCATGGGAGCTGCATGCCCCTCGATGCCCTCTCCTACAGCTGCCAGTGCCAGGATGGGTACTCGGGGGTCCTGTGTAATCAGGCCGGGACTCCGGCGGACCCCTGTGGGGGACTGCAGTGCTCCCACGGCCACTGCCAGACTTCAGCCACCAAGGGGGCACACTGCGTGTGTGACCAGGGCTTTTCGGGCCAGCTGTGTGAGCAAGGTCAGGGCCCCACCTCCTGACATGTCCTCTCCAGGGCCCCTCCCCACATTTGTTTTAGCAACTTGACTTTTCTTCTCCCCAACCTCAGCAGCTCCTCTATGCCCCCTCCCCTTCATCCTTTGGACTTTGGTACCCCCAGTCCCTGGACACTAAGCCCCTCTCAGAAGGAAGTCCCATCTCCCTAAACCCAGTTTGCCCTGTGGCCCTTTATCCAGGCAAGGATCTTTTCTGGCTGGAGTTTCACCTAACAATTCCCGACCCCATCACCTGCGGGGCTGGGATGTAGTCGGAAGTCAGGGTTGGGGACTCCTTCCCAGACCCCTTTGGCTTCGCTTGACCAAGGAGCTTCCGATGGAATCCAGGCTCTGCTGAGGTCGGGCAGAAGAAATCTAGAGGAATCCAGAACCCTCTCCAAGCGCGAGTTCGAGTCTCTTTGATCACGTATTGCCTCGCAGACTTCCAGCCTCTTCTTTCACAGCGCTAGTAACGGGACTCACCCGAGCCTGGAAGCCTTATCTGCCCTGGAGAGTCCCGACAGTAGAAAGCTCTCCCTTCATGCTGACCCACCCAGGGCCCGGGAGAGCGCGGTGCATGCGCATGTTCCGCAGGGCCTAGGGGAGGCGGGTCTGAGCGCCTGGAGGAGCCGCCCACGGACGCGGGAGCGCCCTGAGGCTTTCTCTTGGTGTCTATCCCATCCAGAGTCCGAGTGCCGGGGGGACCCTGTCCGGGACTTTCACCAGGTCCAGAGGGGCTATGCCATCTGCCAGACCACGCGGCCGCTGTCGTGGCTCGAGTGCCGGGGCGCGTGCCAGGGCCAGGGCTGCTGCCAGGGCCTGCGGCTGAAGCGGAGGAAGTTCACCTTTGAGTGCAGCGACGGGACCTCTTTTGCAGAGGAGGTGGAGAAGCCCACCAAGTGTGGCTGTGCCCCCTGCGTGTAACCCCGGTGGGACGGGAGTGGGTGGGGGGGCGGGCGAGGGGCGTGGCCGTGGCAGGGCGGAGCTGCGGGCAGCTGGGCTGGGGGCGGGTGGTCGCCAGGGCGGTGCGGGGTCGGAGGGCGCGGCTGCCCTTGGGGGTGGGGGAGTCAGCGCCGCTTTTCACTTGCAGACGGCGCCGCAGCTGGGGGCAGAGGGGGTGGGCGCGGCGCGGCTGCGGACTGCCTTCTCCGGAAGTGCCTTGCACAAAGGCGCTTAATAAATATTTGTTGAATGAATGTGTGCGTGAGGTCAGGCCAAGACGTGCAGAATGGTGACACCTCCTCCTTGCCTGCCCATGGCCAGTAGTGACCTTGTGACACTAGGTCCCCCAGGCTTCCTCTCCGGGTAACCTGGAAGTGCTGTCAGCCTGCCCTGGGCAACCTGTTTGGCTCTGGGCTGTTTCTGCGGCTAGGGGCTGGGGCACGCGTCTGCTGCCAGTGTCTGCTGGCACGCGCCTCGCCGTGCCTAGGAAGGGTTTCTCCTGCTGGTCAGGAAGGCACGTTCTTTGCCCCCTGGTGACTAGTATGCTGCAGCCACCACTTAGGAGTGAGGCTGGGGGTTGGTTCTTGGGACTAGGTTATGTGATCACCACTGTAGCTTCCAGGGGGCTCACTCATATAAAGAGAACACTCACTGCAATTGTTTGGGGGCTGAGGTCCCACCAAAGAGGGCAGGGGAGATGTTGGTTCTAGCTGAATAAACATCACCAGCCTCCAGACACTAGCCAAACACAAGAGGCACTAGTCCTGACCTTCCCAGCCCCCGACTGTCCACTAGTCGCTGTCCTTTGGCAGGAGGACAGGATGCAAGGGCCCAGGGTCAGGCTGCTTGACCAGGGAGGGGCCTCCTCCTAGAGGAGGAAGGCGGGACTGCAGACCATCCGGGAGCAGGATCCTAATCCACCTTCACCACTTCTACCACTTTGGGCAAACCTCTATTTCCCTGCTTCTCTACCCGCTCCCCCACCAACCCTCAGTTTCCTCAGCTATAAAATGGAGAGACAGGATGACTAAATATGTAGACCCTTCCACTGTGGTTCCAGGAGGGAGCCTGGAAAAGAATGAGAAGACCCATTTTCATTTATCACATTGACAAGTATTTATGTGCCTCACCGGGGACTGGGAACTGTGGGTGATCTACCCCTATGGACAGATGGGAGCTAATCAGAGGACAAAGGAGGCACCAGGACGCCTGGGGAAAGAGTGGAGGGCGCTCGACTTCCGCCAAAGTCACCTCCAGGCTACAGATCCTCCTGATGCTTGCAAGGAAGGAGTCTAAATCCATGCAGAGTGGAAACAAAGATTGCGCTCTTCTTCCCCAATGTTTTCCCCACAGGAAGTGCCCCTCGGGGAGTCCTGCTGAGCAAGAGGGGTCAGGTCCGTTTCCTGGCTCCCTCTCTCTGCAAACAGAGGCTGGGTTGGGCATTGCAGTATCGCTGGCCGGCCGTGATGGGAATGGGCTTGAGCCTCCAGTGAATGTGGGAGCCTAGCATGTTCCATGATACCTGACCCAGGACCACTGAGTGTGGTTCAGGGAGCCCAGTACGGGCAGAGAGACCTGCCCTGCCCAACTGGGAGGTGTCCTCATGGCTGGATCTGTTCTCATCATGGGGTTCAGGTTCTATTTCTTATAGCTCTGAACAGACCACGGTTACCCACCCCTTCCCACAGCCTTGTGTGTGGGACCTCCTGTAAACAGCAGCCTGGACCTTCCTCTTTCCCGGTCAGTGAGGGGCCCTGGAAAGCAGCTAGCACCAAGTTGGACAGGGCAGAAAAACTCCAGTGCTCCTTCCCTGAAGGAAAGGTGTTCTGGGACGCAGGAACGCTGAGAAACGGAGCTCCCCTTGGCCATCACCAATCTCCACTGCCCTGAAGAAGCAACTTCCAGAGGACCTGAGCATCAAGGACTGCCTCACCTTCTTCAGCCTGCGCATGTAGGAAGGGCACCTGCAGACAGGTGAAGCCTGCTCAGGGTCCTGCATTCCTTCCCTGTGTCACCTCCCTGCTCCCAATGGGGTTGGGAGGACAAAGGATGGCGTGTTTGTTCCCAGGGAATGTGCTTGCGAGCATGAAACTGCCCCTGTCCCAGCACAGTTCCATACTCAAGAGGATTGAAAGCAGGGATGAGAGCCTGGGCTGGGACCAACCTTTCAACATAGTCACCAACCTGCAAGTTGCTAAGGAATGGCTATCACTCCGGTTCCTGTGGCGCGCGTGCTCATTGGTAGTTGGGAAGGCAGCTGCCAAAAAACCATCTCTCTGAGAACCCGTCTCCACATCTCACCTTCAGTTCACTTTTCGTCACCAGGGGCCGTTTCCATTAAACATGTACTGAAGAGACACACAAGGGAAGTTCCCGGGGAGCTGGTGTTTTGACAATACCCAGACCAGGGCTCCAGTGGGAAGGTGTTGGGAACTGGAAAATGCTGGACTTGTTCTTCTCTTTGCCTGCTGTTAGCCTAACCGCGAAAGTATCTCTTTATACAGAATACTTACAGATTCTAATATATATTTGTATTTCATTTTGTTATAGTATTTTTATATGTTCAAGTCAACATCCAATGTCTTGTTTTGATTTTCAAATACCCTGTGGTTGTGATGTTTTGTTTGGGGGTTTATACGGTCTTGTTAAAATCAAGTCTTTTTAAAGAGACTGGTTTAGAACAGGTCTGGGAGGGAGGCACATGTGTCCTTTAGATGCAGTATTGTTTTAGAACATGTTGGATATTATCTGTTGTCTTCCATGTGAACATGACATTGATTCTCTTACTCTGCCTCGTTGGTCTCTTCTTCTCAACTAGGTTGGAGCCTTGTGTAGCCTAGGGCACAAAGCTTTCTGTGCTTACAGAGCCAGAAATGGCTATAAGACACACCCATAGGTTATCTGATGCTACAACTCTCTGGTCCTCCTGAAAGAAGAGGATGCTCCATCATAGAAGCCTTGGGATTGGTCAGTGTGAGCGCAGAGCCTGGCACTGCACACAGGGAGATCTGGGAGGCTGCTCATCATCCTCTCAAGTGTTTGCTGTTGTCACACCCCCATTGTCTAAGTTTGTAGATAGCCCCACACCCATATTTAACCTGGCTCAGAGGATTTCTGAGCATCAGGGTGAGTTTAGAAAGCAGTGGAACTTCTCATTCGGTCCTGGGAAGATTAAACTGTCTGCTTCTAGAATCATTTTTAGGATCAGTGGAGAAGGACATCTCAGATTACAATTTGGCATTCGGGAGTTTTGTAGTTCTGCAGGACGTACAACCTGAGCTCAGATAAGACCAGGCCTTTGCAGACTTTGGGAAAGCCCCTGCCACAAAGGGGATCTGGCTGACCCTTCTCTGTTGTCTGGTCCATGGACTGATTCTTAGTGACACAAGCCAGGCCTTAGCTGCAGCCCACGGTTCACCTTGAACACGGGCAGTGATGGCTACTGCTGTCTGTGCCATCCAAGCCATTTAGGATGAGAGAAGCCATGGAATGAACAGACAATAGATGAGAAAATGGGTTGAATAAGGTTGCAAATCCGAGTATCTGGAGTCAGCCAAGTGTAACTGCCACTCGGACAAGGCAGCAGGCACAGAGGCATTTCCCTAGACGCTAATTTTGTTAAATCTTTAAGAGAATCCAAAAATCTGAATCTTTATGTGAAGGCTTATACTTTCTAAGTATCCTTTAAAAACTGAGCACTGGGATAACCACATTTGTGCACCTCCAGTTTGAAATGGCTGAGTTAATGTAAAGTAAATGTCCGAAGAGTGTAGTTAGAAGGAAATCCCCTGACAGGGGGGGCTTGGTTGGGGGTGGAGGCTATAGCAGGAATGCCCAGACCACCAAAAGATCAACATAGTCTAATTACCAGAGTTGCTTTTCCCAACAATACGTTCTACCCAAAGCTCTCAGTGAATTTTGGAGCTGCTCCTACTTCCTGTGGGTCAGTTTGTACCTCCTGGATCAATATTCTAGGATGAATATTGGAGGGAAAGGGTCTTATTTTAACAATGAAGATACCTAATCTGGAACAAGGGGCTATTCCAAATTTAAATTATGAAGAGATGGGCTGTCTTTGTCAACTGTTGGGTTGTTTTCACCAGATGTAGTTCTGTGCACCAGTGGTCACAGGTAGATGAACTTGCTAATGAAGTCATGGCTTGTTGTTGCTGTTGTTAAGTGCTGTCAAGTTGGTTCTGACTCATAGCGACCCTATATAGGGTTTCCAAGGAGCAGCTGGTGGGCTTGAACTGCCGAACTTGTGGTTCAGTGCTGATCCTACAGAGCCATCACTGGCCTTTGTGTCCTTAAACGGACTCACCTTTACCTATGTTGAAGAAAGAGCATAGTGGAACAAACAGGTCATGGGATTGGCAAATGGAAGGGCTTTCTCCTGACTTCCTGCCATATATCATAAGCTCTATGGAAAACTGGGACAGTCCTTGTCTGAGGTCAGTTTTAACTCAACTGCTCCCTGCCCTTCAAGATGAAAAACCAGCATTTTTCCAGCTCTGTCCAGGGAATTCCTTCCCATTGTGTTTTCTTTTCCCTGAAGTCAGGCTTAAACCACAAAGCTGCCAAAGATTTGGTTTCCTTAAATCTCAACACCATGGTTGAGACCGAAGGAATAAGAAGTATTGTTTTTTCGTTCCTCCTGGCAACTTAGCAACTTTTCTGTAAGCTTCACGTTGAATGCAGGCTTCAGCGCATTCTGTGCCCTCTTCCAGTGACTACACAAACACACTTTCATATCAAAGAAGTTTAATACGCTGCAATAAAATAAGCGCCTTGAAAAAGCTCATGGGATAGATGTCAATGTTAGACAAACCCCTCCCACATATTCTCTAGCTCCGTACCCCATCCCTCAAAATCAAACAAGCGAATCTGGAACAACAAAAGAAATCCTTCCAAGCTTGGATTTTAGCGAGGGGCCCTTTACCAATCACAAGAACACAGTTTCCTAAATGGTCTAATAGGAAAGTAAAACACAGAAGCACAAAAAGTCCACACAATTTCAATATTTAAGAGACTTGGTACATTTCAAAGTTAAAATAACTCCAACTTTTATAGCTATACATATTGTTTTAAAGCAACTTAATATATTTTAAAATTTCATATATATACTCTCAAAGGTTCTTCAGGTGAGGTATGTAAACATTGTCTAATGAAAAATTTTCAATGTTTCAAACCAACAAATTCACAGCATCCATTGAATTTTCATCCATTTAAAGACACAGT